GTACCACGCTTACCCGCGGGCAGGGTTTGAACTCGTTAATACCCACTTAGACAGAGAACACCCCCTAAGATTCTAGCTCTCTAGCATCTCAGAACCCCTAGTTATGAAATTACGCGAGAAAAATTTTGGGGGGCTCGTACGCAGGCAACACGCTTACCCGGGGGCTGGATTTGAGCTCATTAGTACCTATTTGGGCAGGGAACATTCCCATAAAATTTCAGCTCTCTAGCGCCCAGAACCCCGAGTTATGAATTTACGCAGGAAGAATTTTGGGGGGCTCGTACGCGGGTACCACGCTTACCCGGGGGCTGAACCCCGAGTTATGAATTTACGCGGGAAAAATTTTGGGGGGCTCGTACACGGGTACCACGCTTACCCAGGGCTCGTACGCAGGTACCACGCTTACCCGGGGTCTGGATTTGAGCCCATTAGCACCTGATTGGACAACTTACCCGGGGTCTGGATTTCCGAGTTATGAATTTACGCAGGAAAAATTTTGGGGGGCTCGTACGCGGGTACCACGCTTACCCGGGAGAGTTATGAAATTACGCGGGAAAAATTTTGGGGGGCTCGTACGCGGGTACCACGCTTACCCGGGGGGCTGGATTTTAGCTCATTAGTACCTACTTGGGCGGGGAACATTCCCATAAAATTTCAGCTCTCAAGCTTTTCTGGTTCGCGAGTTATCAGCTTCCCCGTAAAAAATTTTGGCGGGGTCTTACGGGGGTACCGCGCGGGAAAGACCGTCCACGTAAAAAACTTTGGCGGGGTTTTACGTGGATACCACGCGGGAAAGACCGCCCATTTTGGGGATAGGAGCCCGTAGGGGGCCCGTACGCGGGTACCACGCGGGTTTTGGCGCCAATTTTGGGGATGGGGGCTCGAACGTGCTCAGATTATGTCCCCAAAGTTTTTCAGCCCTGTAGCTTTTGCCGGTCTCGAGATGAAAAATCGGTACAGAGGCCCAGCGCACACACAGACACACACACAAACACACACACAGACACACACACACAGGCAACCTCCCGTCAATATGCATTTTTCGCACTGCATTGCTGCAAAAAACGCATAAAAATTACGTAAAAGTCATTCTGATTGATTTTTCAGTTAAAAAGCGAGTACAGCCAGAGCAAAATCTTGTTGCTAGGTTTCAAAATTTTCCGAATTCGGTTAACCGGTCTAAAATGCAAACTATGGAACCAGAATAATTTCTGTGTTTTTAAAACAGAACAAGCTAAAAAGTTAAGAATCAATTAAATGCATGAAATGATTTGCGTCAAACGACCTACAAAATCGGTCGTACTGTTTCTGTAACCAACTTATGCATATCTACGCACAGGCTGAAATTAAGGCCCCAGAAAAGAGCAAAGAAAAAATCAAAAATTATAGCGCTCTTTATGCATAGGCCTGCAGGAGGTAAAACCGTGAAGCCCTTGTGTAGTGGCTTAGTTGCCAGCGAGTTCCTCTCAGTAGCTTACAGGAACCAAAGCTGAGGTATGCTGAAACGTTGACTTTTTTGTCCCGATGCACAGTTAGAAGCACTTGAATTTTTCAGCTTTTCTTTTTTGGTTTTCGAATTATAAAATTTGCCTTGAATTGGGCCTAGCTCAAAACTGAATTGCTTGGTCAGCGAAAAGTTCAAAAAAAAAAAAAAAAAAATGCAACAGGTGCAACAACGCCCTAGCCTTATTGTTTTCTTATTGACAATTGCAGCACAAAAACGCAAAAAGTGCATAAAAATAAGTAGTGCTTCTGGATCCGTCAGTGAGAGGCTCTGATTTGTTTAGAGTTTTTTACGCAACGCATATACTAGAGTTTCTGGTACCTGTTCTTGATAATCCAGTAGTCAACTTCATTTTCTGTGCCATCCGCCGATTGAATTTTTTCACTACCGTAGCCCACAACAAGCACAGCGTGATTTATGTGCGTTGCCGAACAGTTTTGGTTACTGTAGATACCTAAATCCATCATGAATCTAATTACTGAAAATTGAAATACTTTTATGCGCCCTTGTATATTCGTGTAAGTGCAGTCGATTGCGATGCGCACCAGGCTGGCCGATGCGATCATGCATTTTTGCATGAGTTCATGCTGAACTGAGACCTCTTGGATCGCATATTCTCAGAAATTTCAGCTTCCTAGCTCAAATGACTCTCAAAATCGCTTTCCTACTCAAGAGAGGATGACAAATGCTCGCACACCATGCTGGCCGATGCGACCATGCCTTTTACATATACGAACTTATGCTCACTTCACATATACGAACGCGCACATAAAAGCAAATGTTCCCGTAAAATCGGAGGAATGTGCTGAACCTAATTCCCGAGTTACCATTTTACCAACTATAGCGAAATTGCAACTTTGGCATGTCCATATACATGACGTGGCTTTATGTTTGAGTTGAATTTAAAAGATGTTTCAGTTGAATTTAAAAGATGCACATAAAATGACAAAATGTCTTTGCAAATTTTCAGCTCCCTAACTTGTTATGTCTTCCACATTTTTTTCCTGGCAAAAAATTTACAAAAAGCTTTCCAGCCTAGTTCGTTCCTAGAAGAGTTTTTTCACTAACATATTTGTATCGAAAAATCGTTTTCACGAATCAGCCAGGCTAGAAAACCAAAATATTACAAGGATATTCAGTGCCAATGTAGGGCTTGAAGATTTTGACTCGGTTCTGAGGAACACTTAGGTCTCACATTATGTGCAAATTAAACTTCAGTTTAGGAGAACGTTGGCATAACATTTGGCTTTGTAGTCAGATTGAGCAGGAAGTCCCAATTATGTATCGCTGTTTGCTGCCCATAGTTGGAACTGAAAACATAAAATGAGAATCTCCCGTCCTCTTCTCAAATCCAGGGGAGGGCCAAAAAAATAAGTACCATGTTAAACTGCAAGATTACGTCCATTCAAACTGCATGTGATTTGACTGCTTCAAAATTACTCTTCGTAGGGATTTTTTTAAAGCGATATCCGCAAATTTTCTTGTTTGTTTCAGCACAAACCTCTATTGAAAATACCGTGAAAAGCGGAGAAACTGACCTTTGTGATAAAGCTCGAATTCAGTAGCATCGATAGCAACTGATATTGGTCCTATTTGAGCTACCGCAATTTGCAATTGTTTTTCGTCTCCATATGGCAAATATGCATATCCATTGACCGTCGTCCCTCGCGTTCGGTTCGAGTATCGGCAGTAATCGTAATCGCCCTTGTACGGATACGACTTCGCCGTGCTAATCCCGCCGTTGTCTTTGATGTATGCAAATGCCTGAAAATACAGCTTGAACATCGTTTGCTGGCAGTGCTAATGCAAACTGTGTTAGTTGATAACCCAGGCTGGAACGCACCGGGCGGGCCCGTGCGATCATGCGTTTTTGCACAGGACTTGAA